GAAAAAATAAAGTAAAATACTTTAATATAAATAGATACATATAAAAAATAAAACGATGTAAACAATACTATACAACTATGTACAAAACTGTTTTAGAATGACAAAACTCCTGCTGGGCAAACTGACATGTTAAAATGCCTGAGCTTTGTGCAGCAACAGGCTGTAATAACGAGAACAACTGTAGAGAGTCTTTGCTCTGCACGGCCGCCTACACCTGCTACCTGCCCGCAGCAGGCTCCTGGATACGCGCTACGAAGTCGCTGCTAACACAGTTAGCATTCATAATTGGAGGTAAACTTTATATCTTAGTGTTAAAATAATCTGAGTAGCTAATTGCATACATGTCCACATTTGGTAAATATCCCGTATATGAGGAGAAAGCTTTTCTGAACCGCCGACTCCTCTGAGTGTCTTTGAGAACAGCTGAACACAGAACAAGACATTTACAGGCAGACAACATGTTGGAGCTAACTTTGATGACGTGAAAACACGTCATTAACGTGTTAAAGTGAAAAGCTAACCGCGATTAGCATGCTAGCCATAACAGCGTTTAATTCAATGTAGAAGAAGCTAATTTTACTGTGTGTTGCTAGTATGTGTTAATGTTGTCAGCTGTAATGAAGAAAACAACAACATTAACTGTGTTCAGATAGAGCAGCAATAAACTCTACCGGAAACAGAAACTCCAGAGACTGGCGATGAGACGCTACAGTGACGTCAGCACGTAAACGGTCACTCACTGCTGTTAATGAAAGGTGATGTACTCTGAGTAAACTGTTACTCTGCTTCATTTTTAAAAGGGGAAGAGGAGGGTAAAACATCTTATATGGGGATGAGAATAATAATTAATAAATAAAGAAATGCCAGTTTTAGTTGTTCAGATCATCCCGGGGCTCTGAAGAACTATTTGTGAATAATTGGTTGATATTGTAAATTTACATCTGAATATATTAAATAAAAGTGTTATAAAGTCAATAGTGGTGTGTATGTTATTTGTAATTAAGTTTCCAACCTCACTTTAGTTGAAAGACTACATACAGAGACTTAACAGTTTCATTTGCATTTCTTCAGTTTATTATATTTTATGAGAAATGTAAGAAAATGGATCTTTGAAACACTTTCTCTGTGTGTGACAGAAGATAAAGTCGCCTTTGTTCCACTGTAATTGCAGAGGATGTGTAACTTTGTAGGCCACTATTAACTTCAACCTGTTTTCAGTGATTCACTGTAACTGAACAAATATCACCACGCCCACTCATTCCACACACAGCTGACATTTACAGAAGCTTTCACTGCAAAGCTTCAGCTCCTCTTGTTGTCTGTAAGTGACTGGACCTGCCTGTTCCAACAGCTTCACTTACACACAGTCACAGAACCCAAAGGTCACACGGAGCCTGGAGCTCCTGGAGACCTTACCCACTGAGAAACCCTTTACTGTCACGCACATTACCAGGTTTGAAGGTTACATTTTTCCCTGACCATCCCCTGCCACTCCCAGGCCGGCCTCCTGAGCACATACCTGGCTCCCCGCCTCACCTGCACCGTGGTATTTGAGTGATTGACAGCTCTTTGAGGGCAGGAGGTTTAAATAGCAGGCGAGAGCTGCAGCTCCTCAATCTCCTCTCTGAGCAGAAACAGCATCCATCATGACCAGCTACTCTTCCTCCAGGTCGGTGAGGACCACAGCGAGCAGCTCCGGCGGCTCCATGGGCGGCATGGGCGGCAGCAGGCGGGTGTCCTCCATGAGGGTCGGCAGCGTGCACGGCGGAGCGGGAGGCTCTGGCGTCCGCATGTCCTCCGCCTCCGTGGGTGGACGCCTCGGCGCCGGCCTGAGCGGAGGGTACTCGTCCTCCATGAGCTACAGCGTGTCCGGCATGGAGGACAGCCTCATCGGCAACGAGAAGTTCACCATGCAGAACCTGAACGACCGTCTGGCCACCTACCTGGCCAAGGTGCGCTCCCTGGAGAAGGCCAACGCCGAGCTGGAGCTGAAGATCAGGCAGTTTGTGGAGAGCAAGGTCGGCCCCACCACCAGAGACTACAGCGCCTACTTCGTCACCATCTCTGACATCACCGGCAAGGTGAGTCTCGTCCTCATCCTCAGGTAACGTCCAGGAAGGTAAAAGAATGACCTGAGCTCCGTCTGTCTTTAGATCCAGAACGCCATCAGGCTGAACGGAGCCGTCCACCTCAGCATCGACAACGCCCGGCTGGCAGCAGACGACTTCAGGACCAAGTGAGTCCGACCCCCCCCCCCCCCCCCCCCCCCACACACACACACACACACACACACACACACACACACACACACACACACACACACACACACACACACCCCCATCATAAAACCATCAACGCAAATATGCAAATACTGGGTTCACAGTCAGACGTAAAGAAAGGAGTGAATACATCTTTTACATAAATTGTTGTAGAACGATATATTTTATTAAATGTTTCTGTTCATTTTTCCTCACACTGTAAATGCAGCTGCACACACACACACACACACACACACACACAGGCCTGATAATTGTGTCGTGGTCCTGCTGCAGGTTCGAGAACGAGCTGGCCATGCGTCAGTCGGTGGAGGCCGACATCGCCGGGCTGAGGAGGGTTCTGGACGAGCTGACTCTGGCCAGGACCGACCTGGAGATGCAGATCGAGGGTCTGAAGGAGGAGCTGATCTTCCTCAAGAAGAACCACGAGGAGGTCAGAGAACATCACACACTCTTACAAACTGTTCACTATGACAATGAAAAGAAGAGTGAGGGACACAGCAGCAGCCGGGACGGAGGGTTCGTCCCACATGACGTCCACTGGAATAAAACAGTTCTCTTCAATAACGACACTCCTGTAGCGCCCCCCGGTGTCGGCGCCGCTCATCACAGCTCCCCACACAAGCCTCAGCTCAGCTGCAGACACTAATTTATATGTTCATTATTCCATTCTCTATAAACGGACTCATGACTGACGTGTCACGGTCTCTGCAGGAGCTGCTCGCCACGCGCTCTCAGATGAGCGGTCAGGTCCACGTGGAGGTGGACGCCGCTCCAGGAGATGACCTCACCAAGGTCATGGCTGAGATCAGAGAACACTACGAGGCCATCACCGCCAAGAACCAGAGAGAGCTGGAGAACTGGTTCCAGACCAAGGTGTGTGTGTGTGTGTGTGTGTGTGTGTGTGTGTGTGTGTGTGTGTGTGTGTGTGTGTGTGTGTGTGTGTGTGTTTAGACTGACCCTGTGTGTTTGTCCTCTGCAGTCGGAGGCTCTGAACAAAGAGGTCATCACTCAGACCACCACCCTACAGACGTCCAGGTCAGAGGTCACAGAGGTCAAACGTACGCTGCAGTCGCTGGAGATCGAGCTGCAGTCCATGTTGGGCATGGTGAGTGTCACATGACCGACGCCATGAACAACAGCTGGAGGCTAAAATCATACTTCAGAGTTTTCAAAAGCCTTTTTTTAATCAAGTTAAATTTAATTTAATTAAAGTCAAATTTAAAGATGTCGTGTTTGTTAAAACGTAATACATTCATCTTAATTTATATTTATAGAATTAAAGAATCCATCTTCAGTCAGATCTCGTTTCTCTTCGGAGCAGGACACGAAATATCCACAGACGATGTTGTAACTTTATTTTGAAAGTTTCTGCGTTTCCTCTGCAGAAAGCGTCACTGGAGGGAACTCTGGCCGAGACACAGAACCGCTACGCCATGCAGCTCTCAGGATACCAGATGCAGGTAAGACCTGGTTCTTTAATCCTCCGGATCCGGATCAGTCAGACTAGTGAACCACTTTAACCTGTGCTTCTCCTCCTCCTCCTCCTCCTTCTTCTTCTCCCCCAGGTGTCGTCTCTGGAGGAGCAGCTGGTGCAGCTGAGGGCCGACCTGGAGCGTCAGGGACACGAGTACAAGATGCTGCTGGACATCAAGACCAGACTGGAGATGGAGATCGCCGAGTACAGGAGGCTGCTGGACGGAGAGGGCAGCAGCAGGTGAGGCTCAGCAGGGGGTGGGGCTCAGGTGTTGATGATGTCACCTGAGGACTGATGTAATTTATAATTAAAACATTAAAGCTGAAACTGAGTCTGTCCGTCTGACTCCTGCTCTCTGATTGGTCGACAGCATCAGCTCCTCCTCCTCCTCGAGCACGAAGACCACGCGGGTGGTGACGGTGGTGGAAGAGGTGGTTGATGGGAAGGTGATCTCCTCCTCCTCATCCTCCTCCGCCTCCGCCCTCCTGTCCCGCTGAGCCGCCGCCGCCGCCGCTCGCCGCCGCTCACCGCCGTCATCGTTCACTGACGTGACGAGCGTCGACTCTGAACAAATAAGAGAGAAGTCCGATTCTGAATTCTGTGTCTGATGTCTGTTCATGTTCTCACTCCTTCATGTTCCTTCATGTTCTCACCTTCATGATTCTCAGCCCTTCATGTTCTCATATGTTCTCACCCCTTCATGTCTCACCCTTCATGTTCTCACTCTTCATGTCTTCTTCATGTTCTCACCCTTCATGTTCTCACCCTTCATGTCTCATGTTCTCACCCTTCATATGTTCTCACTCTTCATGTTCTCTCACCCTTCATGTTTCATCATGTTCTCACTCTTCATTTCTCACCCTTAATGTTCTCACTCTTCATGTTCTCACCCTTCATGTTCTCATGTTCTGTTCTCACCTTCATGTTCTCACCCTTCATGTTCTCATGTTCTCACCCTTCATGTTCTCACTCTTCATGTTCTCACCCTTCATGATCTCACTCTTCATGTTCTCACCCTTCATGTTCTCACTCTTCATGTTCTCACCCTTCATGAAATAGTTCAGAAGGCTCCACAACTAATAATATAGACATGTAAATATGAATACACACAAATATAAACATGTAAATATAAATAGATACAAATATAAACATGTAAATATAAATACACACAAATATAAACATGTAAATATAAATAGATACAAATATAAACATGTAAATATAAATACACACAAATATAAACATGTAAATATAAATAGATACAAATATAAACATGTAAATATAAATACACACAAATATAAACATGTAAATATAAATAGATACAAATATAAACATGTAAATATAAATACACACAAATATAAACATGTAAATATAAATAGATACAAATATAAACATGTAAATATAAATACACACAAATATAAACATGTAAATATAAATAGATACAAATATAAACATGTAAATATAAATACACACAAATATAAACATGTAAATATAAATAGATACAAATATAAACATGTAAATATAAATACACACAAATATAAACATGTAAATATAAATACATACAAATATAAATATATATATACAAATATAAATCTAAAAACTTTATCTGTAACAAAAACAAGTGACAAAGTTGCTGCACAAAGAAAAAGAATAGATCCAAATAAATGTTGACACACAAATGAACTAAAAAGGAGTAAAAGTTTAAAACAATAAAACAGTTGGGTGGGTGGGGGGGGTGGGGGGGGGGGGGGGGGGCAGAGGTCACAGTCCTCGCTGCAGTCGGCCCCGGCTCGAGTCCCGCATCAGACGGCCCTTTGCTGCATGTCATTCCCCCTCTCTCTGGCCTCGCCACTTCCTGTCTCTCTCTACTGTCCCGTCAATAAAGGCACAAAAGCCCCAAAAAAATACTCAAAAAAAAAAAAGCAGTTCAAGAGAAAACAATTCAAAACAAAGAAACAAACAGAACTAGTGCTGGACGAGACTGAAGCACCAGAACAACAAAATGCAGTTGAACATCAACAGTAAAGATGAATGTATAAATAAATGTAACTTCAGCCCAGATGCTGAGAGCAGCCATGTTTATGGCTATTAACTCTGGTGTAAAGAGATTCTAAAGGTTCAGAGATGAAAACATGAAAACATGAAAACATGAAAGAGAGCAGCGTTAAAAACGTTTTCTAAGATAAAATAATAGTTGTGTCTCTGTTCACACTTTAATCTGAATGAAGGGACAGTAACCTGGCTGCTGAGTCTGGTCGTCATGGAGACGGCTCCAGTCAAACACAGGTCCACTGACAGTGAGTGTGACTGTAACCTGTAACAACACTGCCCCCTGCTGGTCGCTGTGAGGACATGACTTCCTCTCTGCTGCTGAGGCGTACGTTCAGCTGCAGATTCAGATCATTAATGAATGTGAATCTTTTGTCTGAACTCTGGTGTGAGGTGTTTGAGGTCTCGGAGCTGTCTGTCACGCAGAGTCAGTAAACGCCTCTCGGGGTTTTGGCAGCTGCAGCAGCTGCAGGTCGCTTCACGCACACATTTAATTCCCTCCTGTCATCACAGCAGAGATATTCCTGTCACCCCTCTGGGCTCCATTCATCACTTCACCTGCACACATTAGAAACTCAAACTGCTCTGATGAAGTTTCAGGATCCATTGCATGATGGGAATTTGACTTTGTTGGTTTTCTCATGCTAAACAAGATCATGTTCGTAACAACCACATTTTATAAGTAGAAAGAGATGATTTTTAAATGTTTCTCCAGTTTTCACTTTGAAACGTTCAGAAAAGTTTTTAAAAATCTTGAAAATGTTGTGAACGAAGGATCAACACTTTCTTCTTTGTGTCTTTAATTTGTTTGGTGAGACGGTGGTTTGTGGTTCGTCTGTGTTCTGATGAATGAAGCGCAGCTTGACTTATAACAGTGAACACTGTTGATGCGGGAGAAGAGCTGAATGTGTATGGAAGCCTGGAGGAGACACAGCATTAAATTAAACATGACCAGTTTCACAGTCCATAAAGGTTCATGTCCCCACAGTGTGAACAGTGGACACATGAATTCACACTGTTTGTGAGGACATGTCCTAACCCCTCATCTGAAACTCATGTTAACCCTCACATACTGTTCATGTTTCATGTGTCTATGCTGCTTTCAAGATCCCCTAAAACCTCCATGTTCCTTCATCTGACCCACAGATCTAATATCTGTGGATCTACAATCCACTTCAATAGATACGCTCAGCTTTGACCTGAACAGCCTCAATGTACAAACATTTGTAGCAGCTGAACAAAAGTATGAAATATTATAATATTTTTATTTTGGTGTATTTTGGGTCACTTTAGGAAAAGTCATCAACTTCAGGCTAAAAGACATTTAAGGTAATTTTACTGCTGTCTAATGTCAGAACAGGTCAAAGTTGACCCGAGCAGTTTGCAAAGGGTTAACCCTCAACCCGTCTTTTGTAAAAATCTAAATGGACAAAATGTCCCAGAAATCTCCTCACTTCCCGAAACTTTTCAAAAAATGTCTCCACGTCCCCGAATATCTCTAAAACCGTCCTCACTCTCTGAACTCAGTATAACTAAGACCACCGGAGCACAGGTGTCTGTGCAGGTGTGTCTCTGCAGCACTCACTATGTTCATTCCTATTCTCAGTTTAATTCAACTAAAATTGAAAATGATTCAAAAACAAACAAACTGATGTTTCGCCATTAAAACAGGTTTTTACAGATGTTTGGATTCAGTCATTAAATTCTTCTCAGGAGAAATCAGTGAGTTTCTTCTGATGGAATGTGTTGATTTGATTGATGAGGCTGCTGATGTTCAGCGGATCATCTGATCTGATGATGAGCAGTGATTGGCTGTTTCCGCCTCCAGCAGCAGCAGCAGCTCTGACATTTACTGTTTCATTAATCTTCAGCCCCTCCCCCGCCTCAGGCCGCCTGTCAAACTCCCTGCTGTTATGTAAGCTAGGAACTTCATGTCTTCTTCATGCTACAATAAGGAGCAGCAGGTCGGAGGGTTTACCTGTCTGAAGGTGGCACAGGTACATGAGGTCTCTTCCTTCTACGAAGCCGTTAGCCGCTAGTAGCTACAAATGTGCTAATGGAGTTAACAAGAACTTTGTGATGAGCCGAGCTGATATTCAGAACAACATCACGACCTCTGTTATATTGTTTTTACACACAGAAGAACCTGTGTGAAGGGTGAATCGAAACCACGCACCAACCTCCGAGGCTGAAACCTGCAGTTCCTCTAACGACCACTAGAGTCTGGCTCCAACAGTGAGTCAGTCCCCATAGACTCCCATGTTAAAATGTCCAACTTTACAGCAGAAATAAACATGTTTACAGCCTGGTACAGAAACTGTTTTGGTCTCTAGAGCTAATTTCCTCCTTCATGACACCTGTTTATATAACTCACCTGTTCACATTTTATTAAGGACTACAATTATAGAGGATTGAGGGTGTGGCCTCTTTGAGTGACAGGTGGGTGATGTGATGAAACCCTCAACGCCGGTTCTCAGTGGCCGTCAGAGGGGAAGATCAGCTGTAAAAATGGACAGGAAGTTGGTGTTTAACTGTTGAAATCCGTCACACTGAGGTAAAGTCGTGACCTCTGTTGACTCTGACTGTTAGTATGAGTCACAGAGCTTCAGATTCCTGGTCAGCTTCCCGCTGCTCTCTGTTGTGACTTGGAGGGAAAGTGAAACGTTAAACCTCATTGTTGGTGATTGACAGCTGGTTTACAGAGCTTAAGCCTCATTCAGAGCAGAGGTGTGGTCACAGTTCACAGAGTCACCAGAGGAGAGTCTGGAGCTGGCAGGGATCAACCACTGTAGGTGGGAGAGTAATCCACCCACAATCTACTGTGGCAACGTGCCTTGAAGCAAGGCATTGAACTCAGTCTTGGTCCAAACTGAAGTATCTCAGCAAACATTGGATGGATTCGTTGTCCCAGTGGATGAATCCTAACGACTGATGACCTCTGACCTTTCATCCAGTGTCACCAAGAGGTCGACGTTTATCATTTTGACTGGAGTATCTCAGCAACCATTGGACGGATCATGGATCAACAAATGAAGAAAGGAACTCAACTTCTGGTCTTGACCTGGAACTTGTGCAGAGACATTTTGATTCTGACACGTGTCTTCAGACTTGGTCTCTAGTGTCACTAACTGGCCATTAGTTTCTGGTTATTAATTGACGTGAATTTGAATAATTAGATTAACTGATTAATGATTGATGAACACTGACTGAAAGGTTAAAGGTTTGAAGGTCTCTGTCAAACTCTAGTCGTATTATCTTTAATATTTGCTGTGTTTTCTTTAAATGTGTATTTAATGAACTCATAAACACGTTTTCTTTGACTCGAGCTGATTCCGGGGCGCCTCGGTGGCTCACCAGGTGGAGCGCATACCATTGGGACTCAGTCCTTACCGCAGCGGCCTGGGTTCAAATTCGACCCACGGCCCTTTGCTGCATGTCATCCCTCTCTCTCTCTCAGCCCCAACCTTCCTCTCTCTCTCA